ATATATGTACATACATATTCATCACACTTCGTCTACTTCTGCCAGCTTCACGCTAACGTCATGACAGCTGCTTATTTGTCAAATTTCTTCAGCTACATATTTATTGCTGCTCCCTGGCTTTGATTACAAGTACTATGTATAGTAGAAGTAGATAAGTATTTGAATAGAGTTTTCGATAGGTTTTTTTTTTTTAATGGTTTTTCTTGTAGTTATTGCATACGATTTCACATTTTGGCTCCACTGATTGTGTATCCGTTTTGTATAACTTATTCATTCTTAGGCTGCGTTTTTTAAAGAAAGTCAAATTTTTTTGTATTTTAATTTTGTAATTCTATGTTTAAGAATTTTCTTAGTTTAATTGAAGTTATGTTTGTAATCAAAAAATTGCTGGTATGTGTACTTTTACTACAGAGTATTGCGATAAAGGGTGCTTAATAAAAATTTGCTATTTGAAATTGCCAAAATTTTTGTCCATTACGATTTTTAATTGATTTGTGAGTGAATTTTAATATTTTGCGCTAAATTATGCTTTTAACATTCTATATTACATTTTTTATTTACTGCTACTTTCGTATTTCACAACTCTTTATTTACAAATCTCGAAGTTAGTAAACTTTTCTAAACGAAAACACTGTGCAACACAGAATAAAGTGACTGTGATAATATAGTATGAAATGCAGTAAGTGACGCTTCAATTATTGCGTGCCAATTTCTGTCCAATTTCTCATTGAAATGAGTACGCTTTTAGCTTCAATATCTAGGTAGCAGAGTGCTTATGTTAGGTGTTTTCAGCTGCTCTCGTCCGGCATCTGGAAGCAGGATTACTTAATTGGTCAAATGCGATAACAAAATAGAGGCTTCTCGAGATATTTTGCTTCCTAAAGAGAAATCAATTCTTTGTTTTTTACGCGTAAATCAGACACTCATGAGAGTAGTGATGGAGAATGCAGAGCCAGAACGAGTGAAATGCTCCAATAGGTAATCTTCTACTCTCTTCCTATATATTGAAAAAAAAATGGAAAAAGGCCTTTTCAAGGAAGAGAAGAGAGAGGCATAAAGACGCGAATGAGAAGAGCCTGAAATGCTGGCAGGCAGGACTGCGGCTCGAAAATTCGGTTAGAAGATAAGGCATCAATCAAATCGTTTTACGACCGGGGCTAGATCCTGTAATGATGAAGATGGAAATCTGGTAACAGATGTTCAGGGCTGAGATATGGAGGGAACACGCTTTTGAATGACGACACAGGTGGCGCGCTTGATGAGGGAGAACCCGAACCAATGTATTTGGATGCAGCTTACGTCCCCCTACTCGACCAAGATGCGGTGAGAATAGCAGTAAGGCGGCTTAAAAACAACAAGGCCCGGGCCCGCCGGTTTACCGGTTGAGCTGTTCACAGCCGGTGGCGAAGAGTTGGTGTGGCGCATGTACCGACTTTTAAGCAGAATTTGGTCTGATGAAGACATGCCCGAAGACTGGAATCTAAATTAACTTTGGCCAATCCACAAGAAGGGAGATCCCGCCGTTTTCGCCAACTATCGCGGAATAAGCCCTCTTAATATAAGTCCTGTCGGCGATACTGTGTGAAAGACTTATCAGCGTGGCTTCAGATTTTTACCGCACGTCAAATCCTGGAGAAGACACTAGATAAGAAAATCTACACACATCATCTTTTTGTCGACTTCGAAGCTTCTTTTGATAGCACGAAGAGAAGTTGCCTGCGCAATGCCATGTCTAAATTTGGGATCTCCGCAAAACTAATACGGCTATGTACACAACCTTCAGCTCCGTCCAAATTGGGAAGGACCTCGCCCCGCCGTTTGGGGCCAAATGAGGTTTTAGACAAGGCGATTCACTCTCGTGCGACTTTTTCATTCTGATGCTGGAAAGCGCTATAAGAGCTGCCAATATACATATGTATATATCGACATCGTCGGTCTGAAACAAAGGGATGCGCAGCATTTTCCAGTGTAGAAAAGCAAGCTAAAGAGGTCGGTCTTGCGGTGAATGAAGACACTACAATGTAGCTGCTGTCAATATATAAAAAGAGTCCACACGTTTCGGGACACACGTCACTGCTGGCAGCTATAACTTTGAAGTAGTGAAGAAGGGCTTTGTCCACCTAGGATTCCGCATAACGTCAGATTGGAGAACAAGCAAGGCATAACTCTTACCAAAAGGTGCTACTTTGAGCTCGGTAGGCAATTGAAAAGCAAAGCCCTCTCTCGACGAACAAAAATTACGCTCTACAAGGAATGCCAGTTCTTCTAAGTACATATATAGCGCCGCAACGTGGACGATGTTAATCAAAGAGGAGAAGAATTCAGATGCTTTCGAGAGAACCATTCTACGAAAGTTCTACGGCTCCGTTCGCGTGGACGATGGGCATAGGAGAAGATGTTATGACGAACCATATGAGCTTTGTAACGACATGGACATCGTTAAGCGCATCAAAATACAGCGATTGCGCTGGCTTGGTCATGTTGTACGCACGGATGGCGAGGCTCCGGTAAAAATATCCTTCGACTCCTCACCCATGGGTGGACAATGAAAGCAAAGGCGCGTTCGAACAAAATTGAAGGACCAAGGGCAGAAGGACCTGTCTGCACTCGGGATGAGCAACTGGCGCAAATTTGCAAGGGGAGATGCAATTGGAGAAGCTTTTTGGTCTCGGCCCAAACCGACAAACGGTTGTGGTGCCAAATATGAAGAACAAGAAGAAGAAGAGTTATCTATATGGCAAATTCAGTGATAACCGAATCATGAGTTACGAAAAATGTTGAGACACTCACAGATTTCACTTTAACGTTTGAAATCGGCTCTCTTTCGAGTGCTTTGTTTACTTACTTTGGTTGTTGGTGGCAGTCATGCTGACAAGTAATTACGCAACATATTAAGCTAAGCATGTATGTGTGTATACATACTTTTGCAATTTATAATTTTCAAACTATTCTCCGCAGTAAATCAGGACCTCCGGTCGTTAAAGTATTTGCTATTAATTATTTAACTACTCGTATTTAAATGCTAATAAAGTGATATCCTTAAACTGCTAAAATGTCAATGCGATAGGTAATGTATGTGTGGGTAAAACTTTTTGAATTTTCGCGTGCTTATAAATTTGTGGGAATTATATGTAAATAAGTGAATGCATACAATTTAATATTGCACATACTTATGTACATATATACATATATAGCAAATATATTAAAGTTATCATTTTTTGTGGCATATGTATTAACGTGTTATAATTATAAATTACTGATACATTTAAGACAGCTTATAACTGTAATAAATTTTCGCACTTAACTGATAATTTTTTTTTTAATTACAAACTGTACGAATTTACGCTAATCGAACAAACTTAACGCCATTTCAGCAACATTTACATATTTCAACTCCCTAAGGCTACTTATTCATTTATACTTATTTGTATATGTACTAGAAATTGCTATATAATCGTATTTACCTAGGCGAGTGGATACGTACCACATACAAATACAGTGTACACAAAAAGTATAAGTACACTTGTATGTCGCTTCTAAGTTTCATTAAAATTCGCTATTGTTTTTAGCTTGATGCCTGCTAAAACTTTTTAATTGGGAAATTTTCAGGCATTTTAAAGCAATTACTTTTGTCGAATCGGCGCTTTTTCTTCCAGTGATTCCTATTTAACCTTATAGATCATTTTAGTATTTTTCAAGATCAGCGCTAACATCCGCGTATCCTTTTCTTCCTAATTAACGGCCAACTCGAAATGAGTTCAAGAATCTTGACGATCCTTCTAAAGTCTTAAATAGCTCATCATCAATCTCTGGTGACCACTGGAAGAAAGCAGTACCACAGCCATAGCCACGCGTCAGGGATGCAAGTTATTTTAGCCGAAAATTCACACTGCACCCCTGGGTGCGCAAAAACTACGAACATCAACATTTTGTTTCTCCATCGATGAAGGTCGAGTGGTCACGAAGCCATTCTCCCCGATGGAATAAGCAGGTGGATTCTAAAGTAGTTAGCAAAAGGCAAGACCAGATTAAGTTACCATCTCGTTTCTGAATACGGTAGTACCACTAGCGAAGCCATGGAAACTATTGTCAGTTGTCAGTCAGAAATTGTCAGTTACGCTACACAAACTCGACGAAAAATCTCACTTGCACCTCAGTGAATAACCTGAGTAGTCGTCACTGATCGATGACATTTGAGATCAAATTATTGATCGTTGCTATTATGTTGCTTAGTGCGTACTCTCTCCTCCATTAGAAGTCCTTTTTTTAACCACATTTGCCGACGGCTACTTGATTTAGGCGACGGGAAATTACACACATAACTTGTGTTGTGCATGGTTATCTCTCATAACTGTACCGCTTCATCACTGATCTAAATACTTTTCTAGACGAAAAGGTCAAGCTTAACAGATCAGTGAAAGAAGAATACCTTCTCTGTCGATATCGTTAATTTAACTCGATGTATTCGACAGCACGGTACAATAAAAACTATTGACGGATGCCTTCAGCTATCGCGGGAACACCATTTGTACGAAGAAGTCCCTAATCAAGGCATCCATCTTGGTTGTTACCCTAAAGATCCTGCCAACAGGCACTAGTTCGTAGTGAAGTCAATTATAAGGCACCTCAGAACTATACGCTTTCAGCTGATTACGCCAGATTACAGACAGTCTATAAAGGCTGTTCATAGGTAGACAATTAGCACCTTCCTCAACTCTCGTCCTATGAATGCCGTAATCGGAATGGAATCGTAAGCTATCGCTAAGTTACTTTAGCAAAACTCCCTTGTGGATATTATAGAATCTATCCGCAATAAACGATAACATACCTAACGTACATCTATACTTTGGATATTCATACAGACCATCCCTGATCTCTCTTTGAACTGTCCCTATCTAAATAGCTTATCAATAAACTTGCTGACTTAGGTAACGTTTAATACACGGCTTCAACAAAGACGGCTTTGTGAGGAGGTGTGTAGAGGATCTAGGAAATAACTTAATGAGTTGGATATCAGAAGTCAAGTCGGATTCGTGTTTTTTTTAAAGAAAATTGAGGAAACTACTAAAGCAGTACTTATCAGCAAGTAGGCAAGTCTGACCACTAGCCGAGCACAGTAATCAGAGTGACTTACTTTTGCCGAATGAAAAACACGGACTTCCAAAGACGAGAATATAACTCCCCGTGGGAATGCTAATAGGACGAAGGACCACAGGCCATATGAGCTCCCGGTTTCGCGTGCTCTGTGAGGATTTCTTAGTTTCTGAATACCTTACAGATTTTTGGAGTATCCATTCTTTGTTTTTCGGATGTCGGAACCATCAAAATGGAATAGAGTTTAGCAAAATGTCCACCTTGGTTTTGCATTACGCTTCTGTGACCTCCAAGTATAGTACATATATTTAAGAAGCGGATTTCGCAACCTGAACTATTGCATGGATGATTGGTTTCATAGAACATCCTTAGACTTGGCGCTCATGAGTGTATAGTGAAAACGCGGCGACCACGAACTCAATAAAAGGACCAAAAGTGAAGAAGGACTTGTGCGTACTTAGTATGGATATGTGGTGGAATTTGGCTAAGGAAAAGTTTTGTTGCTTGTAGATTGTCTGGGCTCTAGTCTGCAAATATTTTGTTGAGAGATACTGAAATCAAAACCAGCCGAATCAGTTAAATCATTTTATTAGTTTAGATTTCACTATGGAGGCTAATAGCCTGTTTCCAACAAAAGCTTAACTGTAGTTAAGAGTTATGGCATGTTTCAAGAATTTTAACATGGGTTGCTCGGCAAGGTTCTTTTCTTACTTTTTGCTTTTACACTTTCGTTTGCTTCTGCTAATATTTATGAACAGTTCTCTTCGAGATGTAATGTACTGACCTACCTGAAGACGCATACTTTTTGTGCACACTGTTTTCAATTCATTTCATCCAATCGGCTCAGCAGTTAAATACTATGTTTTGAACATTCCAACATTCACAAATCACAAAGCAACATTTTTTTTCAAATCAACTTTTCAATCTTAGCTCATCCGCCTAATTAATTTTATGTATATCCACTTAGAAGTAAATATTTACGTTTTGATTTTTTCTTCAAGTTTACCGTAAAATCGTTTGCAAACTACATACATACATATTTATTATTTCGTTTGCTTTCGCCGGCCATAACGATTACCTAAATAATTTTTTTGGTTTTTGTTTTTTACATAGATGCCGTTTGAATGCCCGCTTGCGGTGATGTCGATTGCTGTGGTGAATTTTGGCTGCTCACTCCTGCCACCGCTGGTGGTATGGCTACGACGGCGTTTTGTTGCGCGGCGTTTTGTTGCGCCGTTGCCTCGGTTGTCTTCAGGAAATAAGTTATCAAATCGATGGGCAATGGGAAAACTATTGTTGAGTTCTTTTCCGCCGATATTGTATTGAGTGTCTGGCACCGGAAAGGGTTGTCATTTAAATTTTAGTTTAGATTTTTTTTTTTCTAACGCTAAATTTACCTGTAAGTAACGCAATTGTAGCGCTGCTGGTGAACCTCCAATGACTTCAGAGGCTTCGCGTAGTGCCTTTGATGCTTTTTGCTCTCCTTCAGCGGCAATAACTTTGGCGCGTGCTTCACGCGCTGCTTCAGCTTCGGCTGCCATAGCGCGTTGCAGTTGTACTGGTAAGCGTACGTCCTTACTGCAAAAGGGAGAGGGCGGAAAATATGGGTTAATGCCAGAAGATGAATAATAATGCAAAAAATGAACGTATTCATAAAAAAAAAAGAAAAAATATACATTTAAAGCAGCGACCGTACCGTGGGTCTATTTTTTTTTTATAAAAAAGAAAGTCAATAAAACAATAAGTTATAGTTTTTTAGCACAATGAATTGGAAAACGAGTGAGTATTTTTGATTTTTAAGACTAAAATAAAAACAACATTTTCTTCATATTTTCGAACCCAATATATCCGGGGGTTGTTTGTTTTCATTTTTCGATTTTAAGACAGTCACGATTCACATTAGTGTACCGTCGAATTTGAAGGTTCCTAAAGAATCCTGTATAAAGCACAGAAAATCCGAAATATGAGAAATACCCATAAGTGTTAAGAGTGCGAAAAAGCCTCGTAACAATCCCGAAAAGCTATAATATATATTCTCAGAAGCACCCAAGAAGTTTCAAACTCTTTGTATGTAAATCTTCTTCCTATCGACCTTTCGAATGTGAAGGATGCAAATGTTTTATAAAAGCTGCGTACTAGTACTAAAATTTGATCACTTTAATTACACCAAACTTCTATTTAAATACCGTTACAAACTTAACATAGTAGATATAATAAATAAAATTATAGTTTAAAAAACTAAAACCTCCCTATTATAATTGGCAGTCGTACTCATCGGGTATGTAACTTGGGAATAGAAATCGCTGCATCTTTTAGGCGCATCAATATTACATTGTTACATCCCGAGTTAATAAAAGGAAGGTAATAAAAAGGAACAGTCCAGCGCCTTCGTCTTGGTCTGCAGGCTGTATCGGAGATATATCCGCTAAATTTAAACGTAGAATACGTGGTATGGTTAAGAGCATATCAAAATCAAAAACTAAAGCACACATTAAGAAAAAAATATCGATAACGAAAGCAATAATAATATCGATATCAAAATCGATAATAATATCGATAGCAAAATCGATATCGAAATCGATAGAAATATCGATAACAAAATCGATAACCAAACCGATTACAAAATCTATCGAAAAATCGATAACAAATTCGATAAAAATGTCGATGGCTAAATCGATGTAAATATCTAAAACAAAATAGATAAAAATACCGATAACAAAATCCATAAATATTCGATAACAAAATGGATAAAAAGTCGATAACAATCGATTGATAAACAATCGATAACAAAATCGTTAACAATATTGATAAATATTCGATAACAAAATCGTTAACAAAATCGATAAATAATCGATAACAAAATCGATAAAAATTTCGGTAGCAAATTCGATGATAATATTAGTGGCAAAAAATAAAAAAAAAAATAAAAATATCAATAACAAAATCGATAAATAATCGTTAACAAAATTGATAAACCCAAAATTGAAATCCCAAAATAGTTCCCAGATTGAATATTTTCTATAGAATTACCTTTATTTTAATCTTTCTTTCTCTGTCTTCATCCTTACTTTTGTCGGTATCCTCATCCTCATCATTTTCTTTATATTTATCTTTGTTTTTACTTTTATTTTTATCATTTTCTTCAGCTACATATTACACTTTACCTTTGCCCCAATATAAGTAAAGTGTTTAAATTTACCTTGGTCTTCATTTTTTCCTTTATCTTTACGCATATTTGTTTTTGTGTTTCATTGTTACCTTTGGCTTTATCCTTTTACGTACTCACCTTTACTTTCATTCTTGTATTGGTATTTTTCTAAGTGTTATTCTTTAACCTCTTATTAGCAGGTTTTTATTAAATTAATATCATACATTCAAGAAGCACTTGTTTCCGTACCAACCATTTCCGTGTGCAATTTCCGTTGAATTTGCCAATTTACTCCGAACCAACCAACCGCCGCTAAAGAAGTTTCACTTCAAGATACGTTTATGAGTTGCTTCAAATTGAACTAATAGCTTATCAACCATTAACTCTATATTTACCTACATATGTACATATTATGTATGTGGCGACAATAAAATACACTTGCCGTAAAGCATAATTATTTTAAATCTAGCACCTCATAAAATCCTCAAACGTACCTGGATACCATATATTTATATAGCTGTGTAATAAAACAAATCGATATGTCATTACACTCAATTACGTGATTAAAAACAAAAACGTGACAGAGGAGACGTAGTGCAGGACTTTCAACACATATGCTATTGGGTTATGTACATTAGTGTGTATATACATATGTATCTAAATATGTATGCATTGTCATCCTTTTATTTGTTGCTCTTGCGTCATAGAATAATAAAATACGTAAACCGTAACTACTTAGGTATTCAGAACATATGGCAAGTTTAAAAATCGATGTCCCTACCCTACCACTGACGTTCTTGTAGATGTCTAAGTAGTTGAAAATTATATTAAAACCAAGACACCAAAGTTATATGAAAGATAGTGCAGATTATAAGCTAAAGTGAATTACGCTAATTCCGCTCTAAATTCAACATCTTTCTTTATAATTTGAGTGAAAGGTACGTGGCGTATACGTAACATTGTATTCAGCTCTTATAAGTGAACTAAGGAGCAGTTGCGTTTATGGAATTTCAATTAACGTGAGATAAGGGTATATACATATGAATATAAACAGGAAGGAGAGACATATTTCCAAAAGAAAGAAAAGAGATGCTGAAAACGCGACTGCGAAGTGCTTCAGATGTTGGCAGACGGTAATGCAGTCCCGCGAATACTACTTACCAAAAACAAAGGCGGAAACCAAATGGTTTTAAGAGCTGGATTGCGTTGCAAGATGGAAATATGGTAACTGGCATTCAGAGTATACACATGAGAGGTGGATGCAACACCTCTAAACACTCTTGTTAGGCGACCAATATATAGGAATGAAGCTCATGTGAAAAAAATGTGGTTAGGTGTAGTAAAATCCTTTCAGGACTCGACTATCGTTACCGAATACTAATCTTGAGCATAGTTTAATTTAGGCCTAAAATGGTTAAACATTTTCGTAAAGATCGATTTGCAGTTTCAAGGTATTTTAACTTTGGCAAGCAGCAACTTTTAGTTTAGTGGAGTTAACCAATTAAATTATAAAACAACGAAATTCTGGTATGGTGGTTAAGATTATATGTTATTCTGCCAAAATTTATTATTGGATGAATGAATCTCCAGTTTTAATTAATTAATCAAACCAAAATTCAATTTCAAAAACTCTTACAATGTTAAGTGCACATCAAACTTTAATGCGACGGGGTTAAAATTGCTGAGGCTATTGCACTTACATTCATACTTAAGAGTACTTACATATGTATATGCATTAATGCTTGATTCCATACTTGAGGGCATAATAAAGTATAACAAGCAAATCCTCTTGCTTTTACATAGTTATACCTGCATATGTACGTATGTGGCAGACAACGATTAACATATGAAAAATTTTGGCACAATAGCACACATTGTTTCTGTTAATTATGTTGGCGCTTTACTGCAGCCAAATCGGCTTAACTCCGCCAGTTCATTAAACGAACAATGGCATCGCGTATTTATGATAAGTACTGCAGCCATTACATAGCTTAAGAGCTTTAATATTTATTGTATTTATAGTAAAATTTGGCAGCTCCGTATGAATTTCAAATAATATACATATTGTAAACCTTATACATACATATGTACCTAACTGCAAAGACTGTATACCTTCATATAATATGAAACCTATTAGGAGGATATTTAGCTAATATATTTGAATACAAGTTTTTAAACTGGCTGCTGTCATCGCTAAGTGTTTAGGAAAAATGTATTTCTATCTACAAAATGTTTCCAATAAACTCTATATATTTGCTGCTCGGAGTCCGTGTGAAGAGCTTTGTAAAAGATAAGTTTTTTCAGGAGGAATATTTTCACTTTTGTTGCCCCATTTTCATATTTTTATGTGCTTACAGGCGATATTTAACCTGAGACCGTACGAGTATACAAACATTAAACGAGCACTCATTTAATGAAATATATCGCTAGCTTTGAGTGAAAAGTTGCTAAGTCCACTTTTTATGAAAACTCATATTTTGATATAGGAGGCTAGAGAAATTTAATACGCATCGTTTCGAAAATTATAAAGGCACTTGTTTTATTTTTTCCTCTTCATAAGCAATAAACGGAAAATTTGCTAAGTCCAAAAGAAGCACCGCAAATCCGATAAGGCCAAAATAAAACGACATCTTTTAATAAATATCGAAACCTTCTGATTCTTATGGAGTTTTGCTTTGCTTTAAACGCGCAAAATGTTTGATTCAAAGTCTTGCGAAATAGTTAAAGAAAATGGCTAGAGGAAGATTTTTTCCTCTCCTGTAAAATTTTTAAAATGGGACTTAGCAACTTTTCTTTCTAAGCTAGCGATATAAAGTTTTGGTTAGGTTTTAGTACAGTAACCGGGCAATTCTGGCAACTTCCTTGAAAGCACCTTATTGTCTTTCGAAAGACTAGTTGAAAGACGTGCTGACGAGGAGATCTTAGAGTTATGCTGTTCGCCTTTTAGATATAAATAAAAAAAAATAAATTAATTTAAAAAAATATATGTTATCTCTTTTAAAATAATATATACTAATAAATAAAAGAAAATTAAATTAAAAAAGAAAATTAAACTAAATTAAAATAAAGCAAAAATAATTCAAATATTTAAAAAAATTAATGAACTTGAAAAAACATATATATATTTTTTATCTTCTTAAAACAAAATCTAAAAACTGAATTAGGAAAAGAAAAATTAAAAAAAGTAGTACTTAACAAACAGATAAAAATATTAAACTAGAAAAAGGGGGAAAAAATTAATCAAAAAAAGGAGAAAAAATTAGCACTTAAGATTTACAAAAAAAAAAAAAAATAAAAATATTTTTAATTTGAAAATTTATCTAAAAATATTAAAAATGATTAAAAGCAGACAAAATAATAAGATTTTAAAAGTGAAATGAGATAAAAATATATATTATATATATACTTTGTAAAACAAAAAATACTAAAAATTAAACGAAAATTAAATTAACAAAAACAAATATAATAACATTTAAAAAAGGAAAAAGTAAACAACATAAATATCTAAAACAATAAATTCTAAAAATTTAATTACAATTGAATTAAAGAAAGGAAAACAAATTTTTCAAAAGAGAACGAAATAAAATGAATTCCTAAAAATTAAATGAAATTAAAAAAAATATTATCCTTTTTAAAAGATTAACATCTAAAAATTAACAAATATATATATATTTTTTTTAACAATACAACTTAAAATTAAAAGAAAATTAAATAAAACAAGAAAAAAATAAAAAAAAATCAGCTGCACGCTACAGGGCTCGAACGCGGATTTCTCGAATTGCACGCCAGTGTTCTGCTCACTGACAATGCGACTGTTGGAGTGGTCAACAGTTTTTCAACTCACAGAGATATACGAAGTAGTCAAACTCTAAGAAGATCTTGCTCCACCTAATAATAACCGTGGGCTATAGTTTCCGATTGGTGACAGGTAATAAGATCAACGGAAATAAGGTCAATTGACTTTATTTCCCACCTTGGTGCGAAATAAAGTCAATTGACATTATTACCTTTTTAAAAACGAAATAAAATCAATTGACATTATTTCTCTTTCAAACATTAAATTTGCTTAGCTTCGCGGCGGGCCGCGTCAGCGCGCCACACCGCGCGCGTCGCGCTCGCGCCCCGCGTACCCCGCGCGACCAGCGCGCACACCGCGTCACGCTACGCCGCGGGCCCCCCGGCCACCCCTCCCCGTCTCCCGACGTGCTGTAGCGCAGGTAGATTAATTTTTTGTATACGTTGAAATAAAATTTTTATATATTTTAAACATCGAGGGCTTATATTCAATAATACGCCCTATCTGCACACTTTTCACAAAGATGAGATTCTGATATAAAAATCCACCTAAGCTTTAACTGTCATCAGTGATATTAATGCTACCTTATATAACGACAGGTAATAAGTCCCAGATGGTTTCTAAAATCAGAAATTAGTTTTTGTGCAAATTGCAGATAGAGGGTATTAATGAATTCAAGCCCTCGATATTTCACATTTTTATATTTGTAAGCTATTGGAAGCAGGGATGCCAACTTGGCTCAAACCGTGCCATTTGTTCCTATTTTATTTCAAATGGCACTTAATTTTTCAATTTGGCACAAAATGCCAAAATGGCACTTTTGTAAAAAAAAAATAACATTTCAATACATTTTTGTGAAATCCTTTGCGTGCACTTCTTTTTCTCAACTAAAATTTTCTAATTTATAAAGGCTATTCAACTGGTTTATCTTATTTTATCATTGCACTTTTGTTTTGAAAATGAGGCTTTATTTTATTGCTAAATCTGAATGATTAAAAGGAATTACACCTTTTTTGGCACTTTTATTTTTCTATTTGGCACATTTTGGCACTTTTTTTATCCTCAATATGGCACCTCAAAACTAAGGAGAGTTGGCAGCCCTGATTGGAAGATTTCTGCTGTGTTTTGAGGCAACAACTTGTCTGCAGTAAAAAAGCATATAATTTGTGTTTCAAAAGTGTGTGAAAACCAATCCATTAACTTATATGATCTCGGTTTCGATATTAAATAATCAATAATTGTTTATACCCGCATTTTGGCACATTGGCTCGTTGAATGTGCCATCTAATAAATAGTGTCGTCGTTCTCCTTAGCTGCTTTTAAATGACTGCTGGCGGAGACATAAATACAGTGTAAGAAAATTCTTTTTCTAGAATTGTTTCCTTATAGAAAGGTTGGGTTCTTTTCCACCTTAGACATTCCGAATTCGTTCAAAATATGCTAATTTAAAACACAGAATTCTTTCAGTGCTCCTCCGGGGTTTTTGGACATGTACTGTTTCTTCAATTTAATAGTGTTCGCTTTATTTTTGTAGAAACGAAAAATGTTTTGCATGTTATGGATCATTTCTCCACTCTTTCTTCAAATATTTCTCGTATTCCAGCTGTACGCAGGCGTTTAGTTTTTCGCATCGTGTTTTTACATATTCGTAATTTATATTCTTTTTTTAATAGAATCAATTGGAGGTAGTTCATGATTGTGTGTGGATTAATATCACAACACTGAGGATTTGGCAAAAGCCTTTTTCATCTATTAAAAAACAACACTTACGGGGCAATGTTTATTGCAAGAACAACATTTTTTTCTATGAATCGACACACTTTAAGCATTGTTGACGCTATTTCCATTTGAATGAGGAAATAGCGTCAATGACTTTATTTCCAAATTTTTGTTGACTTTATTTCGCTTTTGAAAAGGTAATAATGTCAATTGACTTTATTTCGCACCAGGGTGGGAAATAAAGTCAATTGACCTTATTTCCATTGACCTTATTACCTGTCACCTTTCCGATTTATGGTCAAAAATCCAGCTTGCTACATTTCTTTTTAAAAAGCCAGTCCAAACATAATTTTTGTCTTGGGAGACATTTAGTAAAATTAGGCGAGCATATCTTTTGTAGAAGAGTCTAAACTAATAATCCCTAAAAGAGAAAGTGGCAGTTATAAGGTTTAAATTATCCAGGAAATGTTAAGCAGTAAATTTCACTAGGAGGTACAGAAATCGAATAATTTCTGGGGTTCTGAGGGAAGAATAAAATACATACCTACTCTTTTAGGAATTATAATATAATTTTTCCCCAAAAATTGGTAATTTCAGCCTAGTGTAAAAAAATAATTCTGTTTCCGTGGGGCAAAATCATCAAGAGGCTTGACTACCACAAGTTGGCACTAATGATTAGGTATGCTAATTTGGCAGTACTCTTTTGTCTTTTGGACCTGGGTTTTCCTAAAAGGTCCACAAACCAAATCCAAAAAGTCTCGAAAATGCCAAAATAGGGCAGAAAGTCCCAAAAAATTATACATGGAGAGCTCCGAAAAGTCTCCTAAAATCCAAATAGGTTTCGAAAGATTCTGATAAAGTAAAAGAGCGTCCAAAACCACCCCGAAAGAGTTTCACATATTTTCGCAAAATAACGAAAAGTAAGATATTAAGATTCTCTTAAAGCTCCAAGGAAAGTCCTGAACTTTTCCGAAAAAATCTTGAAAAGTCTATATGGCTTACGAAAAATTCTCAAACAATTATTACTTACATATGTATGTATGTATGTATTTTTTCTATTTTTTGGGCTCAATAAAGTATAGTTTACCTAATATTTTCTTATTTTTTATATTATATGTATTATTATTTTATTTATATGTATGTAGTGCTAATTTATAATATTTCGAAAAATCTAAAGTTCACTTAGATATTAATATTTTTTCCTTGAACCAAAGTGTCAAGAAGTACATTTGTTTCTACATATAAATCTCAAAGTTTTTAACAAGGCCAATTATTTTTTTATGATACACAACCCAAATATATCGTTATGAATTTTTTATTTTATCTACATACATACATACATACATACATACTTACATATATAAAAGAGGATGCAGGCAATAATTCGTACATGGAAGGTGTAAATGTTACTCATACGCCCTGTAGGATTCTGCAATTCTTCTTTTTATATTCAATTCAACTTAAAGCTATTTTCACCAAAATTATCTACATGGGTACATACATTACATTTAGATAGCTGTGCTATAATATATCCTCGTATATATGTATGTGTATCCATACATAACATTACACCAGTCAACACGATTTTTGGGTCTAACATCTACATGTTAAATATTAGTTTCTCCTACGCTTAAAATAAGTGAAAAAATATTTTTTTGATCAAAGTTTGCTTTTGTAAGAACTAGAGCAATTTTTCAATTTTTCTGGAAAAATCACTAATTTTGATACTTTTTTTTATAATTTTACTTTAAATTACAATTAGAAAAGTTTTTGCTGGACATCTGAGGGTTTTAATTTAAGATTTGTGATAAACAATAACATATAAATGTGAAATAACAAGAAATTAATGTCTAAAAGTGAATATTTTTCGTATTTCTTATACTTATCGACGTAAATTAGACAAAAGCAACCTTGAAGAAATAAAAATGAAAATTCAAGTATTTTTTAATGTTTGGAATGAGACTCTAAGCATGAGAACAGAAACCCAAAGAAAAAAAAAATTTTGTTGACCGGTGTTATCTACATAAAAATTCAATCTGATATACATACATAACTATAAATGCAAGTAAGGGCAGTTTTCACAATGTGAGTTGTAGAAAAACATCTGCGGCAGTAAACTTTAAATTGTGTGTGTACTCAAAGTCAATTTTACAATGCCAAATGCGTAAACGGCCGAAATGTTTTCTTATTTATAGCTACTTCAGTTTCTACTTACATTTCAACACGTTCGACTTTTATGCCCCATGCGTCAGTTGCTTCATCCAGTTGAACCTTCAGCGTAGAATTTCATTTAGAAAGATGCCAATTTTTCGTCATATTTACAATCGTAGCCAGCGGCAAAGTATTGTGCGATAGCAAAATGTTGATTTGTTGAATGGCAATCGAAAGCCATATCCATGGTTGTGTTAGCATCAGCATGCAAAAAAAAAACAAGCAAATACAATTGGAATTTTATTAGTTTCAGATTTCAAACCCTTACACAAATAACTCAATATGTAAGAATACTCGTTTAAGGCGATAGTAAATTTTTTATGAGCCTGGAAATGTGCGCAGAGATTTAAAATTGCTGTTGCTGTTGAATTACAATCTTACCAATCGCCCAATCCAAAATTTGGTTAGTGCATAGATATGCCGCCTTGTGTTGTTTTTGCAGAGAACCCTTGCTTTAAGAGGCAGTTCATTCAAGTTTTGAACAATGAGCATGGCAGCCATTTTTAAATTCTACATTTATTTGTTCATTGTTTTTTCAAAGCTTCGTGTATTCCATGCAGCTTAAAGATAGCCTGCTAATATCCATCTCTTGTAGCTTTTGTATACACAATTTTGTATCTTATTTAAAAATTTGGTAAATATCGAGTTAGTTATGGGGGAGTAAGCAAAGTGAGGTAAAATTGTAGATTTTTCTCGCAGATACTGATTACATGTAAATATTGCCTAAGTCTTCTATACAAACTAAGCTAATATGTTAAGTTTATGGCCAAATAAAATATGCCTAATGTAACGTAAATTTAAATTTTTTTATCTCAAAACATTCAACTGAATATGCAGCTGAAAATTCAGTTTTTATATACTAACAAGGTGAAAATTAAACTGAATCTATGGTATTGTGTGTGTGCGGTTTTAAAAGCCAACTCAATTACTATAAATGACCTGAATACAATTTTAACATCGACAGTGTTTAATTTTGTATAACTACACATATTTAAACACATGTGATGCCAGACATTCGCTGTTAAATTACCCAAGAAAATCGGGAAAAAACCCTCAATTACCCACATCTCAAAAATTTAGCCCACAAAATTCCCAAAGGATTCAAAACATTCAGTAGTACTTAGTTACCTCATTATAAATATATATGTAAGATTCTTTCGAAATTCAACGGTCGGTAGATTACTCACTAAAGGCTTAAAAGGGTTTTAAAACATTTACTAAACTCATAAATTAGCTTCAGTGTTTATTAAAACCCAAGATTTTGAAGAACCTTTTTTTCTTGTTTTTATTGTTGAATATTGTTGAATATAGTTAACGGAAGAAAAATTTGAAAATTGTGCTTATAATTTTTAATACTTATACATAATTTTGCTCCACATCATATCTTCAGAACGATTAATTACGTAAGAGTGATCAATTATGCATCGATAACTGTGTTAAATGAAAATCCCTTTTTTATTTGAAATGCCTCTTTTCTCTCTTTTAATAATTTTTGCTGCTAAATATCCTCCAAATAGGGAAATTACCCACACTGTGGCATCACTGATTTTCCACCTAAATAGTATGCTTAAATAGCTGTCAAACCCGATGAAAAAGCTTGTGCGTAGGTTAGAACCAGTGTGGGAGTAGTGTCGCCGCCTAATGGTAAAGTAATTAAATACTGGAAGGATAAGTTCCTATAGATTTGCCTGCAGAAAACCACGTCGGTTACTATAAACTGCTTTGAGTTCGCCGCAATCTTGTTCAAGCTATAACATGCAGGATCATTGCTTCCAATAGCACTATTTCAAAAAAATCTTAATTTTCAAATCAAATCGCGCCGAAAACATATGTAACATTTAAATTATATGAGATTTTTGGACTTCTTGCACATTTTTTTCGGTCTGAAAACAATAAAGGCCAATGTATACTTCACCAAAGAATTAAGTACTCTACAAAAGATATCTCATATGTTTTTTCGATAAATTCTACAACCTCAGTATACTCACTTTGCATTACACAACATCACTCATACGCCATGTGCGCCGTACGCACCCGACCACCTACCACCTATGCGTTACAATGTGAACTAAACACTTGGACCTCCGCTTGGAAAATACTCGGAAGTCTAGCCATGGGCACTGAAGTCCTTGTTTTTGGTACAAAAATGCCTTCTATAATACCCTCGGGTGTTTTCGAGCCGTCTGTGTACCAAATAAGAAGCACAGATCGGAGTATTTCTTTAAATTTGCATCATTTCAGTTTGCCTTATTCCCTACTTCTACTTTGAAATTCTTATTGAAGCTAAAAATTCGGCAGATGTCGTTTTGTGGGAGTTGGGTCAGGAGCAGCTGAGGACTGAGAGATATTTAATTTTTCGAGAACATACCACTTTCACTCTTCCAAAACCCTCTATGGTAAAATTTATTGGGGATAACTTAGCTGCCTATCTGCATTCCATATGAGAATCCGAGAACAGCAGGCTGAAGATTTTCCTGCAGGACCTTTGCATACCAGGAGAGTTTTGTGATCGCCTAGTATCTCACTTCAGAGACAACGCCGATTTCTGCGCTATCGAGGGCCACTATAGTTCCCATTTCCAGTAAGATCCTTGTTCTTGTAAATTGAATAATGGCTCCTGTTCTTCCATTAATGTTAAGAACTACATTCAACAATTTTATTGAGCTTGATTCCGTTTTTAATAAAAATTTTGTGATAAGAACTTGTTAAGAACTACATATATCCGCATATCAAGTGTTCGTTATCTTTAGTGCCCTGTGGACTATTCCACAGAAGGTGTTCTCGAATTTTTTTAAAGGTCTAAAAAGTCTGAAATTTTAAGAAAAAGCAATTCCAATGTCTGATAGAGTTTGCAAGAGTTAATCTACTAACAGGCTTCAAAGAAGGGGTGCCATTAATTGAAACGTTTGGGCTATAGATATGGAATAGGTTTAAGTGTTTTTTGATGGGGTTTGCGCCTGTTTAAAAAATGAGATTCCAAATATTTAATTTGTTGAATGCATTACTAAAAGTCGAGTATACATCGCGATGGATCTTAAAAGGTTTTATTTCTGAGGTATATTTAAGAGAGTTGCCACGAGTTAAATAAATAAATTACACTAGATTCATCAGTTAATTGAAGTATGTATAATAAAACTGGGCAAAATACATAGGTTTAAGAATATTTTGGCTGAAAATATTTTTGAAGAGGGTTGCCAAAGGTTTGAAATTTTCGACTTAGTTAACTTATACACAAGTTTCAGGAAATATTGAAATATCAATGCCAAACGAAAGATTTTTAAGCCTTAGTTAGAAAACATTTTTGATTAGGGTTGTCACTAAATCAAAAAGTCATATCTGTCTAACGATGAACGTATATACATATATAGTAAGCGGAGTCAAATAAAAGTGCTTGGTCTGTCGATGTGCAACAAGATTAAATTTTTTGAAGATACAAATTTTTAATTGTACAGGGTGATAACAAATTCGATGGAATCGAAATCTGACACCATGCGAAACCTTCTTGGCAAACGCATCGCTTATAACCCATATCATTTGGAATATGTTTTAGTCTTTTGAAGAGGATTGCCGCTTGTTTAAATACTTTAATTAAACTTTGGCGCTTTAACACCATGCAGTTCCAGGTTGCTTATTACGAATCTGAAATTAGATTTAAAAAGTTCCATATTGGATCCACCATTTAACACGGATAAGTTAAAATCGTACGTACGTACATGGCGTATGAGTAACATTGCCATCTCATCTAAGTAACTCATACGCCATGTACGAGCGTTCGATTTTAACTTTTCGGTGTTAAATGGTATATCGAATATGGATCCGCTGTTTTGAACTTTTAAAATCTGATACCAGAATTAAGTAAATGTTGAAATTTTAAATAATCGTCCTCCACATTGGATCCACCATTTATTATATTATTTGCATAAATTTTATCGCCATATTTCATTTCCAAAATCGCCACACTGCATTTAAGTATACAAACATTTTCAGCACTTTCGCGTTTTTTTCTTTGTGTTGCGAAAATTGTGGGTATAGGTAGCTCTGTTCCGGTAGACATGGAATGTTCCATATAAGCATTTGTGTTTTGTAGAAATAAAAGTTTATATGAAATCATATACAGCTACAACAAGATGGTCCTAACAAACATATTTGTACACTGAATACCTAAAATTTGGACTGAATCATAGATAAGACACGGTCTACAACTTTACCTAAATCAACTAGTTCCGAGCAAATCTGTAACTCGTATAATTTAATGCAAGGGAGAAATTTACAAACGCACGTTTTTCCCAATCAAAGTGCATGCTTCGCACATGCAAATGTCATTCAATTCTAACGAAGTGTTTATTTATTCTAACTATATTCACTTTCGACCCTTTTGGCAAACGTATAAATCCGTATCTAGTAAGCACGTATCTATGTGTGTACGTTCGCTTTGCAATATTTTCTAAACATTTCGATTTGTATGCATCAAATGCAGTGTTGCAAGTATTTGTTAATGTTAATGTGATTTCAGTTAGTGATTTTTTCGATTTTGTATGCAAAGCACTGAACTTTGCATCCGTGATTTTGGTCATGTTGAAAATTTTCAATACATCTAAGTACATAAGGGTGGTCCTTAAATGTAGGAAAATTTTTCCTAAGCCTCAAACCCTACATCGATGCTACTATAGTCGAAGATATCACATATAAATTTTGGAACTAAAATTTATATGTGATATCCTTGACTTTAGTAGTATCGACTTTGGGCATTAAATGAAAAAAAAAAATTTTAAATTTTTTTTAGTCCTTAGAGGCATCTGGTATTTGACCCTGTGCGACACGCCTTAACCGTCTCCAATCGGGACCAAAATTGGGATTACCGATTGAGGGGGTGAGAACTAAAAACATCCTTCATCTGATTTTTTAAGGACCACCCTAAAGTACATACATATGTAGATATATGTATGAGTGTGTTTATTTGCCGTTGTTTGCATGCAACGCTTCTGTACGCTTCATTGCATCAAATGGGCTGACGATTGAGCTTCGAAGGACATACCGATAGCTGGCCCCCGTTGGAAGGCGGACAAGTAGTTAGACACGTACATAGATAGATGCCAATGTGTTGGCAGATCGTTCACAGGACACGAGAAAGCAGAAAGTGTAGGAGAGAAAACGCTAAACTATAGAAGGCGTGGAGGGACATTTGTTTATGTGGATCACATCAATAAATAGTTAAGTGTAATTTTATCTGTCTTTATTTGCATGAGCGCAACATAAAGCTAGATTGAAGCTCGCAAAAATACATGTATGTATACAGGTAGCTTCCTTCCAGCCATGGCGCAATGCATCTGTCCATAGAGGCGTATTGTGATGCTTGGCTATTCTTATTTTTCATGAAAGCAAATGATAGGTGCAACGGCAAGCTATCGCCGCCATGTCAGTGTATGCATAAATAAAAGTCATATGTCAACATTGGCCGGTCAACTCTGTTTGAATATGGTTAAAAGTTGACATAATATGGATGGAAATCATACATAATATTATAGAGATCTGGCTGTGTTTTATTTAAGAAGGCAGGTTAGGGATA